AGCTCACACAGATGAGAAGGTATTACCAACTCACACAGATGAGAAGGTATTACCAATTCACACAGATGAGAAGGTATTACCAACTCACACAGATGAGAAGGTATTACCAGCTCACACACTTGAGAAGGTATTACCAACTCACACAGATGAGAAGGTATTACCAGCTCACACAGATGAGAAGGTATTACCAACTCACACAGATGAGAAGGTATTACCAATTCACACAGATGAGAAGGTATTACCAACTCACACAGATGAGAAGGTATTGCCAACTCACACAGATGAGAAGGTCAAAGGTCAATGACCATTTTAATGCATAACTTGCAATGCTCAGAGCACATTAGATTGACATATTTTGGCAATAAATAGATACAGAATCAATGATGCTAAGTAATCATTGAAACGATTAAAAGCTCTCAGTGCTTTTATCTCAGTTGTATTCGATAGATAGTAGATCGAACACAGGTTACGGATGTCATAAATCTTACTAGGCAATTGAATTCCTTCATCTGACAGTTGCCAATTGTCTGTACAAATTGGAATTACTGGTAGCAAAGCGAAAGTAAAAATACCCTCTTTACAGAAAAGTAATTTAATCAGTAATGTTTGCATTCAACTTCACTTCATACCCATTTAAATTGCATATTCAGACCAATGTCGATGTCAGCCATTTACGTATAGTGTAAATGCACATCCAGCGTGCAGAGATAATATGCTATGGGCTAGAACCTAACGGTTAAACATTAGTACTATATTCTCACAGGAATTGAATTTCACTTTCTAAAATTCGAACGTAATCCGTTACAACTAATGGTATGAATGGTTTGGTAAGCAACAACGTTTAAACAAAAAAACATTCATAATGCAGTACATACGTTTTATGATATAATTCCACGTGAAAAGAAAGCGTTAAAACATGATAACTGGTAATCAGAAATCGGGTTTTGTCATGGAAACGGTGTATCGGCCTATTCTTCAATACAGCACTTAACAGCGTATTGTATACTTATGCAGAGTACCGTTGTCCATTTCGCAGTTAGACATAACGTACTACAGATATAAGAATGGTAATTGACTGCCTTTATTTCTCAACACCCATGAAGAATGAATGGTGACTGATAGCTTGAATGATTCTAATTTATTCATATATCATTGACAATTGCAACGCGACACGTGGCATACATACATCCACTTATGAACTGTCGTCATTAAGGGATGCACATTTTTTAAGTTGATAGGTTTGTCATTTATACCATCATAATTTGCATTATCATTATTAAGTATAACCAAATGTCATCATTATTTTCAGATATTTAATTTTTTGTTAATGGTAAATGTAAATGAAGTCATTTTATTTATTAACGCAGTAACAAAATGGCGCGGGTGCTATGAATAGAATTTTTTTTTAATATTTTTAACAATTATGAACAGAAGGTTTTACATAATTGCCCATATTCACCAATGTCACACGTGCCCATATTCACCAATGTTATACGTGCCCATATTCACCAATGTTACACGTGCCCATATTCACCAATGTTACACGTGCCCATATTCACCAATGTTACATGTGCCCATATTCACCAATGTTACACGTGCCCATATTTACCAATGTTACACGTGACAATATTCACCAATGTTACACGTGCCCATATTCACCAATGTTATACGTGCCCATATTCACCAATGTTACACGTGCCCATATTCACCAATGTTACACGTGCCCATATTCACCAATGTTACACGTGCCCATATTCACCAATGTTACATGTGCCCATATTCACCAATGTTACACGTGCCCATATTTACCAATGTTACACGTGACAATATTCACCAATGTTACACGTGCCCATATTCACCAATGTTATACGTGCCCATATTCACCAATGTTACACGTGACAATATTCACCAATGTTACACGTGCCCATATTCACCAATGTTATACGTGCCCATATTCACCAATGTTACACGTGCCCATATTCACCAATGTTGCACGTGCCCATATTCACCAATGTTACACGTGCCCATATTCACCAATGATACATGTGCCCATATTCACCAATGTTACATGTGCCCATATTCACCAATGTTACACGTGCCCATATTTACCAATGTTACACGTGCCCATATTCGTCAATGTTACACGTGCCCATATTTACCAATGTTACACATGACAGTATTTACTAATGTTACACGTGACAGTATTTACTAATGTTACACGTGCCCGTATTCACCAATATTACACGTGCCCATATTCACCAATGTTACACGTGCCCATATTCACCAATGTTACACATGACAGTATTTACTAATGTTACACGTGTCCGTATTCACCAATGTTACACGTGCCTATATTCACCAATGTTACACGTGCCCATATTCACCAATGTTACACATGTCCATATTCACCAATCTTACACGTGCCCATATTCACCAATGTTACACATGCCCATATTCACCAATGTTACACGTGACTATTTTCACCAATGTTACACGTGTCCATATTCTCCAATGTTACACATGACAATATTTACCAATGTTACACGTGCCCATATCTACCAATGTTACACATGCCCATATTCACCAATCTTACGCGTGCCCATATTCACCAATGTTACACGTGCCCATATTCACCAATGTTGCACATGACATTATTTATCAATGTTACACGTGACTATTTTCACCAATGTTACACGTGTCCATATTCACCAATGTTACACTTGCCCATATTCACCAATGTTACACGTGCCCATATTCACCAATGTTACACGTGATAATATTTACCAATGTTACACGTGACCATTTTCACCAATGTTACACGTGACCATATTCACCAATGTTACATGTGCCCATATTCACCAATGTTACATGTGCCCATATTCACCAATGTTACACGTGACCATATTTACCAATGTTACACGTGACCATATTCACCAATGTAACACGTGCCCATATTTACCGACGTACCACGTGACCACCATATTCTCTAACGTTACACTCGACTACATATTCCCAAAGGGTCACAAATTCATTATTCGTTATTAATTTATTGATATTTTTCTAAACTTTACAGAATTCGTGAAGACAATGGCGATAGACAGTCTATTGAAGAAATCATGACAGTCTTCAATGTGAACACGGAATATTTCTCAACTATGCATATCATCCGTGACTTCCATGGAGGAGAGATATTTTTGTACATACTACATGTATATTATACTGACATCTGTATAAAAAGAACACCTCTTTTAATATCATCATTATTTTCCCATAATGCACATATACGCAATTTCGCATAATTTTGCCGCTCACGTAACATTCCGATGGGGGAGATATGACGCCAATCATAGCAGATAAGAATAGAAAAGCACCGACATTTTTCAGTAAACTAATTTTTGTTTTCTAAACCTAGTGATGCACAACTCGTACCTCGTACATAGCCTGTGGAAACATCTCACAACGTTCCACCTTTTCCGTCAGCAGTGAAAGTGAACTAATTTGATGTTTTATATGAACCGTATACCAATACCGAATGCTATAAAACGGGATTTTCAAATCCAAATTAATATTGAATACATCCAATTTGTGCTCAATCTGGGATGACTCTTGCTATGTTTTGACCTTTTGAAATACCATATGAAAGACATGGAAGACAATGTCATATAATGAATGGTGCTAGGTTGTGTTATTGCCGCCATGTCATCGGGAAATGTTATTGTTAGATATGGAATCATCACACCAAGTGGCTGATGAACGAATGGTAATTGAATAAACACTGCACGAGATATTCATGCTCTTAACCTCAGATTCACGTCAAAACCGGAAATAGCTACCGCATTACATGGTTCTATAAAATAAATCAGCGCACGTCATAGGACAATGTAAGTTGTTGATATAACAACGATACATCTTGGGATAGATGATTATCTAGATATTGTGATAGTTGCCAGGTACATTGCCATTAAACAGGAAAAACGATGATATTAATGGTAACGACTCATTGCATACATTATTCATTAGTATCGTTCATCAGCACCTTCTTCCGATGGCAAGGCCACCTTTCTGGTTACAACATCGATAGTGGTAATAAAACATTCATCATGCAAAGCGTACTGCAAAGTAATGTGAGTCACTATGTGGAAATTAAATCAAATTAAGTTAAGATTATTTACATTTTAGATGACACACGAAATTTCAAATAAACTAAATTCCATGATAAAATGATGCGATTCTATCGTTTTCAAGAAAATGATTACCATGCTTGTCACTATCATCCATATACAATGTTCATTTCAAGGACAATAACTCAAGATAATTATAACCCATCCTGTATACGAAGGTCACTGTCACTGTCATGAGTAGAATAATGTATCAATGTCGACACATTAAGTGCAGTGCAGTCACATACCTTATACTCAGGTATAGATGAAATTGTTTTACTTTACACAAATGAACATTACCTACCATCTTTTCAATCATTTTAATTTGATATTCATACATTTGTTGTGGAAACCAGATCTATGGCATATATATTGTAGGGTTGGGCTGACCATTTATTTTCTGTATGGTGGTGCGTCGGTGGATTTAAACATAAATACATGTATGCATATTAACTGGTTAGACGGCAAACTGTCTAACAGCATGATTTAGACTAAATAATAAACTCATCATACAAATGAAAGTCGTGTCCAGTCGGTAATAGGAATTGCATCGGCATACAATTTCCGTGACAAATCGAAATAACCTCGTATTTGAAAAGTTTAAAATGTGTCATATTTTAAGGTAAACAAATTAATAAGACTGTGTTTGAATTTGTGTTCTATTTGTTATAGAGTTTAAACTGAATTATGCATTGCATACTTTTCTCACATGCCACTCTATAGGCTATAAACTATAAACTATAGGCTATAAACTATAAACTATAGGCACCTC